TATGTGTGTGTGTGTGTGTGTGTGTGTGTGTGTGTGTGTGTGTGTGTATATATATATATATATATATATATAAATAATCCAGGTAAAGTGAAGGACCCCTGTCACTTAGATATAGTGTCAGCCTACATTCCAGGACAAAGAAATTATATTTGCAATTTTCCATTGTAATCTTTTTGAGAGCATGAAGGTTTTTAAAAGGGTCGTTTTTTAAAAAAAGTTCAACCATGGATTTTTTTTGTTCTGCTTTTTATTTTGTCTTATTTTTTGGTAGGGAATACAGGCAGTTTTCAAGTATTAACATATACTAATTTTTAAAATATTTGATTTGTGAGCAAACATACTCAAATGAATAGATGCACACTCAAAGGGCATATTCCAGCCTTATAAGTTTCTCTTCTAACATTACTTGTCTTTAATCCTATCAATATAGCTTTTGTATTACTTTTTTCTGTAACGGTTGTCATGTAACTGCACTTGATTTGGCCATAGTTGAGCACTTTTAAATCCTTCTTATTGTTGTGAGAGGGTTGGCCGATATACTTTGCTCTTCCAAATAAATCAGTGATATTTACAAGTGCATAGTTCTGGCCGGATTTTACCTGTTGTGCTTCTGAAATCATAAGAATGACCAAAACAGAGAAGAAAGTCCCACTGCATTCAGTTACTTTTTAACTTTAAGATTGCATCTTAAATTTTCTTTCTCTCTGTCTCTTCGTTCTCTGTTATGTATATCACTGTTTCCTTTCCCGCCTTGAAGTACACTGAGAATGATTTGCAACTTTTGAAATAAATCCACTGTGGGTTTCCCCATAACCCAGCCTCATTGAGATGCACAAGCATGTTAAGAAGCAAGAAGAGTCTGCATTTTCAGTGCATATGCTAAAAGCACAGCTTGACTTTTCCCCAGCATTTGTTAGTCACATCCTGTCATCCACTGTTTTGTTGTTTGGTGGAGAGGAATGTTAATCTATCTGCAGTGAAGAGTGTTAGTGTTTCCCCTTTTTATAATAAAACTTTGCAAATCATGTAGTTCACTTTTTTAAAGTTACCTGATCGTCCCTGTGATCCTTTTTTTGCTTATCAGAGCAAGGTACATGAATACAACAACAATTTATTATCACATGATAACGGAACTGGAAAAACCCTTAAAATATTTAGCAGTTGAAATTTATTGCATTTCATTTGGTAATTTGTTTACAACAACGTTTCTCCACTGTTCCTCTCTTCTATTTTGAAAAACAAAAAAAAACAAAAATAGCAGTTTGATGACAGGTCCTGGAAAGTTACGTAATGTTTGGAAACATGCTCACAAATGAGTGTAAAGGAGATAGCTGATAATAACATATTTGTTTTTGGTGAGGAGAAATGGAAGGCAATTCCATTATTTTGAGAATGCGGAGGGTTGTGTTTTTTTTTAAGAGGAACAGAGGAACAGAAACAGACATCTCAAGAGCAAAGTGAGAATTAAATTGTTTCAGAAACTGTACTCACTGCCATAGAATTTACAAATGATTTTTATGAAAGAATGGAGAACAAACTTACAAGGTTGTTATGGCAACTGAACTACTTGGGGTGGAATGTGTGTATCTTGAACATAAGATTGTAAAAAACCAGTGAAACAGTCACTGCACTATAGTCAGAGGAAATAAATGGAAAAACGGTGCCCTGAACCCATTGTATTTTTCGTTTACAATTAATGCAGTAAAATTTATTTTTGCTCTCAGTGTTGTGTTTCGGTTTTGTTTAAACTGTCTGCATGGATGAGATTGATATGTGATGATTCCCCACCCACCCTTTGATTTTTAGGGTGGATTTTTTTCTTCTTTTATATACAATTAAAGGATCAGATACCCTTCAAAACATAGTCCTAATCATCTCATAACTTAGCCTCATACCCACGCTTTCTGTTACCCGTAGAAACGTCAACATGGATCATGGTGATGAAAGCAGCGTAAAATGTATGAAAGATTATTGTTAATTGTTGCTTAGCAAGTTCAGTTTTGTAAGCCACCAAACATTAGTTGCAGTTTCACTAACACCTTACTGTTACTTAACAGCAAGTTCCATGTTTAAGTGGCACTCCTGTGACATGAGTAAATAGGATGGGGCTGCTAATATACCAATATAAATCTTGCAAGTATAGCACAGGGAATAGATTGGGGTGAAGATTTTCACAGATATTTTTGGAAATGTGTTGTGTTTTTCCCCTCCAAACAAGTTATGTTACTGTTTATTACAAATTATTACACAGGGATCTTGTAACACCTTTGACACTAACTGAGAAGGGAAGTTTGTAGCAGTTCAGTGAAGTATTATTTTTTTTAGACTTGGAAGTTGATGCTACAAACAGTGTTACAAAATCTCTCTCTCTCTGTGAACACTACATGTAGTGCACGTTTGTGTGTGCATGTGCGTGCAAGCATCCATAATCATGAAATTTTAAATAAGCAAATTAAATGGTATTACTTAAAATAAAAGTTAGACTAATTCATATTTATATACTGTGGGACGTACTTCATTTTTTTACTCATTTGAACTAAATTTTTGAAAGCATAAGCAATCTGCACCAAATACCTGGATTACATAGGTTTTTAAAAATACAGTAAATTTTGTCCTTCTCTCACATAGCTTTTTTTAAAAAAATTTACTTTGATTTTCTACTTTTACTATTCCTTTGGTGACTCAACTTTTCTTTTATGAAATAGAAGAATACCAATCACTTCTAGAAAAAGATTCTTTTTCTTTAAATACAAAGAGCAAAAAAGTGCTATTAAAAATTAATGTTCAGAAACAATTATTTTGAAGCCGTGGAATTTCTCTCCATGAGGTTTGGAGACTTTGCTGTTTTACCACATGAAAATACTTGACATTATTTAATTGGACATGCGGGTTTTAATGCAAGAACTTCCGTTACGTGATGGATTAATTGTTTTCCTAATACTTGAAAGGCTAAGATCCAAACATTTTCCCATTCTATTGCAAAATTAACTGCAATAAATCTGTCAGACCCAATTTATTCATTTAAAGCATTCCACACTGATTAAATCTGCACATTTGTGTGTGTGAGAGAGAAAAGGAAAGACACTGAGTGAGAGGAACTGACTAGGGAAAGGAGAAAGGTGTATGTGAGCAGGGGGAAACAATTTGCATTTATTTGTGTGTATTTTAAGTGATATTGCAGCTTAAAAGATAAGGAGACTATGGTCTGAATAACATATGTGGGTGAATGGGTCAGGTCACAGGATGACTAAGCACGCCTAAGCCTCCCCTTGTTTCCCCCAATGTAGGTGAAACAAAGCTCCCGTCTTTTAAGAACACAACAGCACAGTTCTTTGGTGCTTTTTTGCACCAAGGTCATTCTAAAAAAATCATCACATTTTACTTCTGCAGGGTCTACCGCTAGTTTGTTGGTATTTGCAAGGTCTCTCTAAAAAAATATCATCTTTTACTTCTGGAGGGTCTTCCACTAGTTTGTTGGTATTTGCAAGGTCTCTCTAAACAAAGTCCTATGTGTTAACAGTCTTATTAACAATGTTAAAATGGAATTAACAGCTTGTGGATACCTCTAGAGTACAATAGCGTGTCAGCCTTCGTTGCCCCCTTATAAATTGTGTCCTGCTGTTTTTTCTTTTGTTTCATGTCCAATCAGCAAACTAAACTTCTGTGGAGGCAGCCAGCAATTCAAGTGGTGGGGTTTTTGTCTCTCTGCCCCCTTTTTGCTCCATCTAAAGGGTGGAGCTAACGGGGAATTTATCATTAGTCCAATCCAGACAGAGGAGCTAGAAGAATGACCTGCACATTCTGAAGAAGGTCTTTCTTGTTCTGCTTGGCTCCCTGACCTCTGACTTGCCATTTTGTCAGTTTTAAAAGGCTTTTCCTATGTTGTAGTTTACTTTTGTCGTCCTTTCAGTGAAAGAACAAAAGGTTTTGTTTATTTTAAGATGTATTTTAGTTTAAATTTCTATTAATCTTCATGATTTTAGAAAGTCTGCTGTCACGAAATGATATTGAACGTAGCAGGACAAAGAATGCCGATTAAAATGTTCAGTCTGTTTTGGAAGGAGAAGAATGCACATGCACACACAGAGCCTGGTTTTCGTTTTTTTACATTTAGCAAGTTGTTAATGGGTATAATCCACTGGAATTTTTGCCAGTCGTTTCAATAGGGAAAAAAAAAACTTTTCAGTAGAGTGTTTTCTGTTCCAGCATTTGAATGATTATATCTAGGCCCAGTTCATGGAAAGAAACCTTTGTGAATGTGTGGAACTTTAAAAAAAATCATAAAATTTATTCAGGAAAATAGAGAAATATCACCTGCCAACAACACTATGTTTATCTTTAAATCTTGCTCCGCCTGTACTTACAATCATTGGGATGATGCTATTGCATTTGAAAACCATTTATCAATAGTTTTATAATACAATGTAATTGACATCTTGATTTTTTTAAAAAATTTAGCATTATTTAGACAGTTTTATTTTAGGCTTTCTCCATATGGATAAAACAGTTTGCATTGACTGACTACAGGAGTATTTTCTGACCACATGGGAATGCTAGTGTGTCTTTTCAGGCCCTATGTATACAATAATACTTGATGGTGTAAAATAAAGGATATTCTACAGTACCCAAACACCCCAGAGCTAGAAAACACATGTTGTGCTGAGATGGAACATAACCCCTTTTCTGCAAAAGGAAAAAAGAAAAAAAAAGAGGAACCAAAATAATTTCATAGTCCTAAATACTATCGCTAATTTCCAACTGAAGCATCCAAAATATTGTTGCAAACTCAAAATGTTAGGAAATGGACATAAACCCAGAAAGAAAGACTCTCATTTTAGTTATTAGCAGAATGACAGTGTTAACTATGATGGTGGTGGTGGTGTGGCTTCCCATCATTTCTGAGTTATGGTGACCCTGTCACAGGGTTTTCCTGGCAAGATTTGTTCAGACATTTACTTGAGAGAATGTGACTTGCCCAAAGTCATCCAGTGGGTTGCCATGGCCAATCTATGATTTGAACTCTGGCCTCCAGAGTTGTAGTCCAACGCTCAAACCACTACACCACACTGGCTCTCTTATTTTAACAATATTATAGGAATAATTTTGTACTTTCCACCAGTGAAAGGCCTTTTTTTTTTTCCCTACCAGCCACTCTACAGTCAGCCAAAGCATGTGTACTTGGATGTGGCAATACTCCTTGTAAGCCAGTTTCCCACATATAGTACCTGCTGGTTTTCTTATCTGCTCCCCTACTGCAGAAGTAATGTGTCTGTGTGGCAGGGAAGAGGTTTGGTTTACTCTATTCAATGATGCCACTATGTTCTTTGATTATCAGACTTGTGCACTTCTATACTGGTGAAATAATTGTGTACCACCATATCCAACCAGTATGGACATACCTGTTCAACAATAAAAGTGTGGTTATGCTGCAACCAAACTGGACTTCCCATGGTGTGTCAGAATGCCCACCTAGAAAAATGTCTTTCATTGCAACAACACCACTTCTATGCTGCATTTCCTGATTTATTTGGAATGTACTTCCGGAACAGGCATTTTTCTTAACTCAATCGGATGTTCCTCCATGGTTAGATCCATTCCTGGTGGGTACCAGATTTAAAGCTGCTCAGCAGATACAATCCACAGGTCCTGACTTAAGTGTACAAAATCTCTTCAGGTTCATCATTACATCTTGAGCATGTGATGCTGCAGTTCCTCCAAATTCTGAATGATACAGTCTTGCCAGAAGCAGTAGACCAATGTATGCACTGAGCTCAGTATTTTGGGGGAGCTTCCTCACTTTGATTTCCAGTAGGGCCCTGAGTACATGCCTTTCACTACATGTCTTTCCTCTTTATTTCTTTCATGGATTATATAGGAAAGAATGCTTTCTGCAAAGACCACTTTAGTGTCTAGCACTGTCTTTGTTTCCATCCTTCTTTAGCCCTAGGAACTGTCAAATGATGTTTCTGGCTGCTCTATGGTGAACTGTCTACGGATCTCTGTATCGAGTGCTTCCATCCCTGTTTCTCATGACGTTGGTATCTCCTCTTGGTCTTTCCTGGACAGGATGAAGTGAGTGTGCATTCAAAGCTCTCCCACATTTGAGCAGGAAGAGGGATCCCTCTTTCGAAATAATAATAATAATAATAATAATAATAATAATAATAATAATAATAATAATACAAGCACTCAAATTGGCTTCTCTGCATCTTGAATCTCAAAATGATATAGGATTTTTTTTGTCTCTATATGTTGCTTTGTATGGACCAAAAATGTATCAGTAGCTAAATGTAATAGGTTTATTGGAGCAATTCTTGTTTTAGCTGATTTTGTTCATTAAAAAGTAGATGGCTGAAACATGGGGACATTGTTTACAATTCTTGAGATGGTGATATAAATAATTGAATGGGAGTGTAACTACAAATGTATACAATACTACATGAAACATTTGAATTACACATTTAAATGTTTAAAAAGACATAAAATGACTCCCTTGTAGTCTAATTTTGTATGAATTCTGTACAGTGCGGTACAAAAACTCTGTTCTGATAGGAGGTGGGTTGAAGAGAATAGCCTTATAGCTCTGCATATACTGGTATTGATAATTTTGATTCCTACAGTAGTTTCCATTCAAGAACCCCCAAGCTATTTCCAATTATCACTAATGCAGTGTAGTATATACAAGAATGATTCTCTCCTCATAAAACTAAGGGAATTCTAAAATATGAAGAAATGTTAATAAGACTACTTGGATGGAAGAATGTTCTGTGGTTGGGGAGGAGAGAAATTGAATATTGCATTGATATCTTTGGAAGCAATGCCTTGTCCTTGCAAGTCCCTTTCTTACAATAAATTTTGACATGTCAGAAGGCCACTATGAAAACAACATTGCCATCATCTTGTGGCATTCTGTTTAAGTTTTACATAAGAAGCATCAGCAATGAAAAGTAAATCATAAATGAACATATTGAAATGATAGACCTGAATATTACAGTTTTGGCACTCAATAACTCAGGGATCCCATCTTTGTGATTCCCCCCTTCCTCATATGAGCACACATTCATCCAGGGTGGTGGGAGAGACTGAAGCATAGCAGTGCCTCATTCATTCTTTTTGCAAGGTTAAACCTGCCACTATAGAGGCTTGATTCTTTCTTTAGCACGGCACTCCAGACATCAAAGTGCCTCATGAAGTTCCAGTCCCGGCATCACGACCCAGCACTTGAACCATGTAATATTTCTCTACCACTATTTAGTAAAGTAATAGCAAAGTTACAGCTAAACTGCAAAAAGAATGATGATGTGCCTTATTAAATTACAGTTGTAATATAATATAGATATGAGTTAGTTTTTTTGGAACAAGCGTTAGTTGCAATTACATAGTGATTTGTAAGTAGATCTCTCTGAGTTCTACACTGTTTTGTAAATCTGATTTGTTGTTAGATATCTCAAGTGCCTTTTGAGCAGGAAGATATGTTAGGACCTGAGAAAAATGTTTGTACTTAAAAAATTAAAAGTTTTTTTCTATACATATAATATGCATATTATTGTCTTAAAGAATGGATTGGGCCCAGAGTAGTAATACTTCAGCTGCATTGAAATCAATGGGAGTTATATTAGTCAGACTGCCCAGCTAATTATGTGACTACTTTTCTCAAGCTCACACACAATCTGAACATTTAAAAAAACAAAACAAATTCAGTGTAGCTGGCAGAAATTGTTCCCCAAGGAGGCAACATTATATCTAAGAGTATTGTTGTAACAGAACAGCTTTTAGATGCCACTGTACAGATGTGTTCTCATAAACATTTGAAATTATTACTTAGATATGTTCTAAAAGTGACAAGCTACCAACTAAGACAAAGATACTTGTAGACATTGGCTGTTCTTGCAAAATGGGATTTATTGTGAAAAATTTAATTGGTAATTGTGTGTGTGCATACAGATATATTGGTTTATCTTTGTGTTCTTGCACACACATACAATCTCTCTCTCTCTCTCTCACACACACACATATATTGAAAATCATGTTGTGGTGTATTTCATGGTGGTATATGTGTGTGTGTGTATGAGAGAGAGAATATTGCCTTTCCTGGCATAGTTTTATCATAGTCCTGTTTCTCAGCATCATCCCTTCTTGTAACAGTGTGTGTTTAAGCAGGAACCCATTGTTAATCTGGAAGTTCTAAATGGTAATGCTGTATAGAGTAATTCCATGGCTGTAGATGTATTAATTTCTTGAGCTGTGCACAGTGGCCCACACATTTTTTGTTGGGCTTAACAACCAACATGGCTTACTTTCCCACTTCTCATCACACCGATAGAAAGCAAATCCATCCTTTTTGTATTCATTGTTGAAGACAGACTTATGCATATTTTTGTGCACAGCAGCTTTTTCCTTCTTTCTTGAAAATTGTGGGGAAGAATTCCTTCTAGTTTATCCATTCCATAATTTAGTTAAATCTCTTAACTGCTAGGTCTCCCCCCCCACACACTCCCATCCTTGCACCTTATGTTTTACATATATAGCCCAGAGTGGGTTTGGGATCGAGACAACTGGAATATTGACCCATAGATTTTTTTTTATCAAATCCCAATGTATCTCGACATCCTTGAAACACAGAACACATAATTACAATTAAACAACAGCAACTTGACAGGGATTAAACGGAGCCTGCTACCCAGACAGGACAGGAAAGCCTGCAAGCAAAATCCTCATCCCTCTTTATTGCTTCATGGAGTTTGTACCTACCTAGAAATTTGCAGGATGAAGGGAGAGGGCTACCTAACTGGTCCAAGAAAAAAAAAAGAGAGAAAGAAATTGCTGGTTTACTGTATCTCAAGGGGAATCCATCTTCACTCAAGAGCATCTTGGGGGTCCCTTACAGAGTTTCAGACAGCAGAATTTCAGTACTTGCTGCTGATCCAGTACTTTAATTCCCAGTCCCTGTCACATAAGTCTTTCTTCAAGTAAGTGGGAAGTGCTGGTGGCATATCCCCTCTTAACTGCCAGAAGGGTACCCCTTGACTTTTGGAACTCCCAACCAACAGGGAAAAACTTAGCAACCACCAAATTAGCAAAGACCAGGAAACCAAATGCAGGCAAACCCCCTAAACACAGAATAAGCTGATCCATTGACACACCAGATTAGTTAGAGAAGCGTTCCAACAACCATAAGAGCAAATGGCCAGCAAAGAGGAAAAATTACCCAGCAGTGAGGTTCTTACGTAAATAGGACTTCTCACCTCTAGGATGGTACCAGGCTGAAATGGTTTCCACCTTCCCTAATATGTCTGTTCTTAAATTGGAGTTAGGCCTTCCTGATATGGGAACCAAATTGAAATAGAATTGTTTCTCCCAGCAGCACCAGAAAAGATTAGCAGGCCATGCTGGTGAATCATAACTTTATTTAGAGAAAGGAATGCCTTCTGTCCCATACCCTAACAGACCAGAATCAGAATGGTAGCCCTGAGCCCAAAGTTCATACATTTTGATATATTTGCAAAGGTTGCCAAGTCACTACTGCAAAGGGCTTGTGCTGGAAAAACTCTACAAAGCTAACAAATTTGATAGAAGTTTTCACTTCTAGGTTTCAGTTGGTCATGTAGAATCTCTTTAAGGTAAACAACTATTCCACAGTCTCTTGATGGTGTAGGGAACAAAATAAACCATGTATCTTTCAGAGTGTTCAGTGATGCACTTTTGGAATTATTTGATGGTGGCTTTTGAAAATTTGCTACTTCAGAAGAGTATCTGGGAAGTTTTCCCCGTTGGTTTCCATAATTTCATTTTGGGTTGCCACTCTTGAGCTGAGCTCTGCATTTGTGGGCTTTGTATGACTTGTTGCTTCTATAGGCAAAATAGTTTGAAGCTGGTATACAGGGTAGTGTAAGCTATGAGGAGCAAATGTTTTACAGTCACTGATGCCTAATACCTGTGTGTTTGTGTGTGTTTGTAAGGATAGTCTTCAATGGGAAGATAATCCTGAAGTGAAAAACCAACACCTATGTATAGGTTAGGATGACATGGTTCATGAGGCAGCAGAGTACAGTAGAAAGACAGTATGCATCA